AACTATTGTGTTAAAAGGCAAGCTATCCTAGGGGAGATGACATAGCTCTCAATCTGCCCAAAAGACCACATTAAGAGACTGGGCATAGTCTGGCCGCTGATTGGTTCAGAGTGAGTAAACTGTGAAACCACTCCCACTATGCTAATAAACTATCAGGAAGGAGGAGTGGTTTTTGATGAACTGAAGGCTGAAGGGGGGGGGGGAAGGGGGGAGGAGCAGAGAGGGAGGAAGCTGGTGATCCACAGAGTCACATGGTGGAGATGTGGTAGGGTAGTTGTTGAATCTGGATGACTAGCTCAGGAAACTGCCCTCAGCAAAAAGGCTAACAGGCTTATACTATAAAAGGCTTATACTATAAAAGATGTCTTTGTGTCTTTATTATTAAGCCCCAAACAGGACACCCAAAAGCAACTACAATAGTGCTCAGAGTGGTCAAAGAAGACATCGGGCAGGTCACACGTGGTGGCACACGCCTTTAATCCCAGCACAGAGGCAGGTGGATTTCTGAGTTCCAGGCCAGCTTGGTCTACAGAGTGAGTTCCAGGACAGCCCGAACTACACAGAGAAACCCTGTCTTGAAAAACCAAAAAAAAAAAAAAAAAAAAAAAGGACATGGGATCCTTGAAGCTGGAGTTCCCAGTGGCTGTGAGACTCCTAATATAGGATTTGGGAACTGAAATTGAGTCTTCTGGAAAAGCCACAAGTGTCCTTAACCACTAAGCCATCACACTGGCTGTTGGTATCCAAACCAGCTCCAAACTTAGGAATGTCACACATAGATGACATCTGTTGCCGTGACAACCCTGCATACCTTCCCAGAGCCCATTTCTCACACTCACCTGCAAACAGCCTAAGTCACAGCCTAGAAAAAAAGCAAACTTTCCCCAACCTTTGACCCTTTTTCCCATGTCTTTCTCTCCTCTCTTTGTCACTGGTCTTTCCTAATAAAACCTATGCCACATGGAACTGCTTTGGCCTGGTGTGGTCTATCTGGACATGAGCTGCCTTTCAACACAACACTGGCCCTAGGTTAGTTTTTGTTTGCTTGTTTGGTTTGTTTTGTTTTGTTTTAGAATCAGTCTTGCTATGTGACCCAAGCTGGCCTGGAAGTAGGCGTCTTCATTCTAGTTCCTACTCAGGAGCGCTGGGACTCAGGGCATACACAACACCCTGCTCAGTTTTGTTTTCAGCAACAGCCTATAACTAAGTTCAAAATAAGGTTTAGGGACTGGAGAGATGGCTCAGTGGTTAAGAGCACTGGCTGCTTTTCCAGAGAACTTGGGTTCAATTCCCAGCACCTACATAGTGACTCACAACTGTCTGCAACTCCAGTTCCAAAAGTTCTGATGCTCTCTGCTGGCCACTGCAGGCACTGCATACAACCATGGTACACATTCCTACAGGCTAAACACTCGTACACAGAAAATTAAGTATAAATAAATCTCTTTAAAAAATAAGGTTTTTTGGGTTTTTTTTGGTTTGTTTGTTTTTCTGTTGTTTATTTCTTCACTTTTTCTTGAGACAGTTTCACTGTGTAGCCCAAACTAGCCTGGAGTTCTACATCCTTTTACCCAGCAGACCCAGGGTTGGTATGTAATACATATTATACTCTAACTGGTCTAGCCTCAAACAACAAATAATATAAAGAAAAAATAGGGTTATGTGTATCCATAAGTGAGTAAAAATTTTCTATATATTATACCAAAGCCAATCATTCAAAATGAAATACTATATTTAATATAATAAAAATACTTTATAAGCACAATCTTATATGTGGAAATTCTATTCTGTTGATTCCTCAATACTATCCTGGAAACGCCAACAGCAACAGATAATTCCAAGAGCCCAGGCAGTTCAGGCCAGCAACGTCAAAGTCCTGTACTAAGACTGAGGTTTCAAACAGCCCATTCTTTGTGCTTTCTTTTCTCCTTTGATGCAGGGTCTTGCTGTATAGCTCTTCACTGGCCTCAAACTCACAGAGACCTGCCTACCTCTGCTTTCCCAGTACTGGGATCAAAGGCAGTGAGAGATAGGCCATTTTCACATTGGAAATGATTCCTTAGGCACTGCTATTTCAAAGACTCTCTGTGCTTTACAGAGCTGGAGTACTTGCAGAGACCCCTGTACTTAGCTGCCTCTATTCATGAGACCTCAGTATTGTCCCTTGAATTATATTCCGAATCTTCTCTGCATCATTCTGTACAACTGTGTTGGCTGGGTCGATCTTAAGTGCAGCTTCATAATCTTGCAAGCCTGTATTGACATATCAATGATAATCAATAAAGCAAGTATTTCATAAATACCTGTTATCTAGACAACTTCTTGTTTTTCTAAAACAGGGTCTCCTGTAGCTTAAAAGACTTTGATTTTGATAGGTAACTGAAGACAACCTTGAACTTCTTCCCCACCCCACCCCCACCCCCAGTCTCCTTCCTTCTCCCTCGCACTGTGGCCCTGCTTGCTCCGGTCCTACTCGCTCCAGCCCAAAGGGTTATTTATTTATTTATTTATTTATTTATTATAAGTACACTGTAACTCTGTCTTCAGGCACCCCATAAGGGCATCAGATCTCATTACGGATGGTTGTGAGCCATCATGTGGTTGCTGGGATTTTAACTCATGACCTCCGGAAGAGCAGTCAATACTCTTAGCCATTAAGCCATCTCACCAGCCCAATGTTGAACTTCTGATCTCCTGCCTCAGTCCCCAAGTGCTGGTATTACAGGTGTGTGCCACCACACATAGTTTATATGGTACTGGGGATCTAACTGCCTCATGCATGCAAGGCAATGAAATCACTCTCCTAACAGTTACACAATGCCCCCATCAGTCTCTTACCTTCAACATACAATTCTAGTCGACAGAACGCTGTCCCTCGTCGGATGTGTGCCTTTATTCTTGCTTTGGCATTGTCGGCCACAGGTGGTGTCAATAATTCTAGTGCCTTTCAAATAATGTATATAATTAGGGGTTAATGAGATGGGTAAAGTGCTCAGTGGGTAAAGTGCTTGCTCTGCAAACCTGAAGACCTGTGTTGGAACCCCAGGACCTACATTAAAAAACCAGGCATGGCGGAGTGTGCTAATGTCCATGCTGGGAAGCAGAGACAGTAGGAGCCCTAGGGCTGGTTGGCAGGCCAGCCAGCCTAGCTGAATCAGCAAGGCCCTGATTCCAGTGAGAGACCCTGATTCAACAAAAACATGGGAAGTAATAGTTAAAGAATGAGTCTATGGTACAGGAGTGGATATGGGGGACTGAAGGGAGAAAGAGTGTGGAAATTATATAATTATACTTTAATTAAAAAGAAAAAACTCAAACACAAAATGCAAGTGTGAGGCTAGAAGGATGGCTCAGAGGCTAAGAGCATGGGCTGCTCTTCCAGAGGACCTGAGTTCAGTTTCCAGCACCCACATTAGACAGCTTACTACTGTCTATAACTTCAGTTCCAGGGAATCCAGTCTCATCCTTTGGATTCTGTGGGCATTCATGTGAAAATAACCACCCATCCCACCACCACACACAAACATATACATAATTAAAAATAAATCCTTAGAAAATAAAATAAGATGAACAGTGCCTGAAGACCACCACCAAGACTGACCTCTTGCCACTATACATGCATGCACACACATCCACACACATACTACATGTGTGTGTATAAAACAGTCAGACATAATGCTTTGCACCTATAACTCCTCTACCCGGATCATTATTAACCTGGGTGTAGTCACAGGCCTGCAGTTCTAGCACTTTTTGAGGGTCAGGAGTGAAAGGCCATTCTTCTCTACATACTAGGTTCCAGGTCAGTCTAGGCTAAACGAGACTCTGTCTCAAAAATAAACAAAACACTAAAGTACAAACAAATCAAACAGCTGGCACATGCCTATAATCCCAGCTGTAGGGAGGCTAAGGTATAGACTGTCAAACTTTTTGTTTTGTTTGTTTTCTGTGTTTTTTTTCTGTGTTTTTTTTTTTTTTTTTTTTTGAGACAGGGTTTGTCTGTATAGCCCTGGCTGTCCTGGAACTCACTCTGTAGACCATGCTGGCCTCGAACTCAGAAATCCACCTGTCTCTGCCTCCCAAGTGCTGGGATTAAAGGCGTATGCCACCACTACCTGGCATAGACTGGCAAACTAAAAGCCTGTTCAATATTAGGCAATGTTAGGCAGTTCAGACCAGCAGGTTATATTGGTAAATTGCCATGTGTTATCTGCACATATTGAGAGCTGACTCAAGCATGTGTATTTCAAGATCTCCCAAAACTCCACGATCCTAGGTCAGGTTCTCTAACCGCGAGAAGGAAAATAGCTAAGAGCTGAGGCTGTAATTAAACACACAGCACCCCTGAGAATGGCTGGTTCTCAGAGTGAGCCATTCCCAGCAGAGGTAACTATTGTTTATCACACAGTATAAAAAGGCCTGCAGTGGGAAGGAGGAAACGGAAGCTCATCCATGAAGCAAAGTCTATGCCTAGAAACCTTTCAATCAGGACCCCCAGTATGACTATCTCAGTCGGACTTCCCCAATGGCTGCTCCAGGACATTGTCAGTGCCTGATGTGATGGTGTTTTACTATCTGATGCTTCTCTTCCTGTCTGCTCCTTGCTGATTGTTCTTTTACTTTTGCTCACTCTGAAACAAGCATGTTTCTCTTTGGAAGCAGAAAGCATGGCTGTTGCTTTCTCGACACAGATTATCCTCTACACAGAACTCAGCGTGCACCATTTACCTTGAAGGCAGAAGGGATTAGCATTCAATTTCTGGGGGAGGGGATTGGGTACAGAACCCAGCACTTCACACTGGCTAAGCAGAAGCTTTCCTACTAGGCTAAGTGCTAAATCCTAGAGCATCATTCAAACCAATAAAGAAGGCCTAGCAAATGTCTGCCCAACCCCCTCTGTCCCTGTGGATCTTGAACATGTTAGTTTCTATAACAATTTTTTCAGACATCAGTAGTTTATTGTTTTACTAGTCTAAACACATTCAAAATGGAAACTCAAAAAAAATTAGAAAATACTTTATAAACTTTTGTGTCATCCTTGCACAGGGACCATGTATCTTCTCTGTATCATTCCAATTTTAGCATATGTGCTGCTGAATTGAGCACACATTTGTCTCATATGATCTTTTGAGACAGTTTCATTTTGCAATCTTGGCTGGAATTTGCCTGGCCTTGAACTAAATGATCTTCTTCCTTTAGCCTCTTGATGAACCACCATAGCTGGCTCTCCATAATTTTAAATATATATATATGTGTGTGTGTGTGTGTGTGTGTGTGTGTGTGTATATATATATATATATATATATTGCATTGGTGTTTTACCTGCATGTATATCTATGTGAGGGTGTCATATCTTGGAGTTCCAGACAGTTGTGAGCTACCATGTGGTTGCTGGAAATTGAATCTGGGTTCACTGGAAGAGCTGTCAATGCTCTTAACGGCTGAGCCATCTCTCCAGGCCCCAAAGTATTGTATTTTTAAATGAAGTAAATATATAAACATATACACTACACACCCAAACAGAGAAATATACATACCTTAGAAGAGTCCTCAATGGCCTTGTGTAAGTTTTTTAATTTGAGATGGCAAGCAGCCCGATTCAAATACAATAATGGGATCTTACAGTTTAATCGTATGGCTAAATTATATGCATCAACCGCTGCCAAATAGTTTTCTGTTGCAAACAATTTGCTAATGAGACAAAAAGAAAAGGCCAATTTAACATTGAAGCAGACATGGAGGAATAACATTGACCCTACTTGGCACTCAGATAGTTTACCATGTGCCTTATTTATTCCCTGTCAGATGGAGACTCCATCTCTCTACATACACCAAACAAGCACCTTGAGTAGGACAGATCCTCCCACCCAAAGGCAGCCATCATTAGTTTAATGCAGCGAGTGTATGTCAATCTTCCTTGATATGGTGATTTATTTAGAGATAGAAAGGGGGCTTAAACTGGCCTGAATGAAGCTGGTGATTTTGGCCTCAAGTTGGAGTGTGAAAAGCTGGTAATACTTCTCCCCCTGCTGGATAAGGCAGAGAAAAGCACACAGAACAAATGCTGCTGCTCACTGCTAACCATGGGAGAAACTAGTTATGTGAAAGCTGATGCAGAGAGAATGAGAAAGGGCAAAAACCAGAGGGAACAGCTCTTCACGACATGGGGAAGTTTCTGTGAGTGGTGACACCTGTGTCAGGGTACCGTCAACACACACACAGCCAACACCAACCAGCCTGGTGATACAGACCTGTAAACCCAGCTGTTTCACAGGCTGAGGTGAAAAAACTGCAAGATCAAGGTTTGCCTGGCCTACACAACAAGCTTAAGGCCAGTGTGGGCAAGTTAGTGAGACCCTGTCTCAAAATAAGGAAGGAACTGCTGCAATCCCACTACTTGAGAGGGAGAAAGGAGACCTGGGGGTTAAGGCTTTGTTTGGCTACATAGCAAGTTCCCCAGACTGTGCCATGTGAGCCCCATGTCAAAACAAACAATAAGTGACATAATTTTAAAAAGGGAAAGGGCAGGGGATAGAGTTCAGTGTTATAGCACTGAGACCTTTGATTCAAACTTCAATACTACAAAAATCTATTAGAAAGACACACAGAGTGCACACAGGCCAGGCAGCCAGCATCTTGGTAAAGGGACAACATGCCCCTTTGATTTAACATTCAGCATGAAGTGGGGAGAAGCATTCTAAATATGATTTTTAAAAAAATAACATGGAGCTGGGCAGTGGTGGCACACATCTTTAATCCCAGCACTTGGGAGGCAGAGGCAGGCAGATTTCTGAGTTCGAGGCCAGCCTGGTCTACAGAGTGAGTTCCAGGGCAGCCAGAGAAACCCTGTCTGGAAAAACCTAAAAACAAACAAACAAACAAACAACCCATGGACATGATGCTAAAGGCCTATAATCCCAGGAGTCTGGAGGTAGAAGCAGGAGTACTGATATGTCAATTCAAGAATTGTTAATCTGCTGGGTGGTGATGGCACACACCTTCAATCCCAGGGGCAGAGGGCAGAGGGCAGAGGGCAGAGGGCAGAGGGCAGAGGGCA